TAATTCTGAGGAAGTTGATGATAGTCTGCAAGGAAGGAGGAGGAGTCCCTTGGAGTCTTTTAGTGAAGGGAAGGAAAGAAGCAACTGCACACAGGGGTCCAAAGGAAATAAGAGGGAGAAAAAGGACAAATTCTATTCTCATCAGTACCACAAAAAGTATCATTTATTAAAAAATCTACACTTTATTGTATCCACAGAGGAGGGTGTTGTTGAATGGAGAGAAACCTAATAAGCCAACTTAATCTCCTCTCTTCTCCCATCACAAGATAGCTTACTATATTGCTGCATCTAAAAAAAAAAGCGCAGATAATTTTCAGTAAAAAAGAAGCCAACATCCATACACAGTTACTGTAAGAAAGCAGAATACTAAAACCAAATCTTCTAAACATGCTCACCACACAGAGAATGAAGGGAACAATAAAAAGAAGGAAAAGAAAGGCACAAAAAAGGAAAACTAAGATAAAAGTCAAAGTGTTAGTTGCTCAGTTGTGTCCAACTTTTTGCAATCCTATGGACTGTAGCTCTCCAGGTTCCTCTGTCCATGGAATTTTCCAGACAGGAATACTGGAGTGGGTAGCCATTCCCTTCTCCAGGGGATCTTTCCAACCCAAGGATCAAACTGAGGTCTCCTGCATTGCAGGTAGATTCTTACCATCTGAGCCACCAGGGAAACCAAGACACAATACTCAAATATAAATAACTTATATTACACAAGCAATTGCATTATGAAAGAACACCATGAATCAGACACTTCAAAACTCACAATTGAAATGGACAATGAATAGGAAGATGTATGAAATAGGAGCTGACTGAACTCTGGAAAGGAAACCAACAAAAAAAAGACAAAAATCATTTCAGAAATGAAAAGTAAATTACAAGGTACCCAAGGTAAGATAGATATTGCCAAAAGTTCAGTAAGAGACTAGAAATGAAAAAATGCATGAAAGTGAAATTGAAATAACATAGATAAAAGGATCAGAGATAAAGAGAGAAGATCCAATATATTTAGATCAAGAAATTGAACTAGAAAAATAAATGGAAAATGAACAGAAATAATATTTAAAATTATAATAAAACAAACTTTTCTAAAATAAAAGGAGACTTGGATTTCCATATTGAAAGGTCCCCCATGTGCCTCGGAGAATTGACTGGTCTAGAACAATTGACTCTTAGCTATATCTTATATATTAGTATTAGACCTTAAAATAAAAGAAAAAGACCACTTGAGCCTTCAAGCCAAAAAAAAAAATAGTTTTATTTTTAAAATAAATTAAAAAATGAGAGTAATATTGAAATAGAAAGAAAATCAGTTTGACATCACACCTTTAGCAACATACGTGGCAAGAAAATGATGGACATTTTCAAGGAATTCAAAATGGGTAATTTGTTGTGGGACATTGAATAAGTAAAAAGCTCAAATCCATAGTGATACCCCAGATAACTTGGGAATTGCACTTTGAGTGACTTTTTAAAACATGCTGCAGTTATTAAGAAAATTTTCAAGAGTGTTCCCTGATGGTTAGGACTCAGTGCTCTCACTGCCGTGGTCAGAGGCGTGGTATGATCCCTGGTGGGGGAACTAAGGTCCTGAAAGCTGTGCAGCCAGACAAAAGAAAGAAAAAGAAAATTTTCAAACCTCTCATTGGTTGATGCATGCTGACGTATTTAGATGTGATCTGTTGTGATATTTGCAACGTTAAAATGGTTTAGAAAAAATAAAATAAGGAAAAAGAAGTGGAAATTTTTTGCAACAGCTACTTGTCATTTTTGAAAATGTTAAAATGAATTGCTAAAATTAGATTTCTAATATTTACATATCTTTTATATTGATTGAAAGACATTTTATGAGTAAAATGAATTCCATTTTTTATGTCATTACTTTGTATTTTTAGAAGAATTTTTCATATTTCTGTTTACTCTTAGAATTACCAGTGATCTCATCTACACTAATTTTTTTCCCCAGCAGATATTTATTGAAACTTCTAGTGCCTTAATCAAGGCAATAGCACCAAACTCTACAGAGTAGTCATTGTATTCTTCCCTACCACAGACATACAGTAAAAAAAAAAAAAACCCACAAATAATCCAGTTTCACTTAGAAATATCCTTAATGAGGAAGGAAAATTTTAAATGAATTATTTATCTTTTTATTATAGAGTTATAATGTAGTTTTGATACAAATATTTTTTCAGATGTATCAGTTCAGTTCAGTTTCTCAGTTGTGTCTGACTCTTTGCAACCCCACGGACCACAGCACCCCAGGGCCTTCCTGTCCATAACCAACTCCAGAGTTTACCCAAACTCATGTCCATTGAGTCAGTGATGCCATCCAGCCATCTCATCCTCTGTCATCCCCTTCTCCTCCTGCCTTCAATCTTTCCCGCATCAGGGTCTTTTCAAATGAGTCAACTCTTCACATCAGGTGGTCAAAGTATTGGAGTTTCAGCTTCAGCATCAGTCCTTCCAATGAACACCCAGGACTGATCTCCTTTATGATGGACTGGTTGGATCTCCTTGCAGTCCAAGGGACTCTCAAGAGTCTTCTCCAACATCACATTTCAAAAGCATCAGTTCTTTGGTGCTCATCTTTCTTTATAGTCCAACTCTCACATCCATACATGACTACTGGAAAAACCATAGCCTTGACTAGATGGACCTTTGTTGACAAAGTAATGTCTCTGCTTTTTAATATGCTGTCTAAGTTGGTCATAACTTTCCTTCTAAGGAGTAAGCGTCTTTTAATTTCATGGCTGCAGTCACCATCTGCAGTGGTTTTGGAGCCCCCCAAAATAAAGTCAGTCACTGTTTCCACTGTTTCCCCATCTATTATTTGCTGTGAAGTGATGGGACTGGATGCCATGATCTTAGTTTTCTGAATGTTGAGCTTTAAGCCAACTTTTTCACTCTCTTCTTTCACTTTCATCAAGAGGCTCTTTAGTTCTTCTTCACTCTCTGCCATAAGGGTGGTGTCATCTGCGTATCTGAGGTTATTGATATTTCTCCCGGCAATCTTGATTCCAGTTTGGGCTTCTTACAGCCCAGCGTTTCTCATGATGTACTCTGCATATAAGTCAAATAAGCAGGGTGACAATATACAGCCTTGATGTACTCCTTTTCCTATTTGAAACCAGTCTGTTGTTCCCTGTCCAGTTCTAACTGTTGCTTCCTGACCTGCATACAGGTTTCTCAAGAGGCAGGTCAGGTGGTCTGCTATTCCCAGATGTATGATTTGCCAAAATTTTCCTCCATTCTTTGGGTTTTTTACTTTCTTGGTAGTATATTTTGAAGCACAAAAATTTTAAATTGGTATTATTTAATCTATTTTCCTTTTGTTGCTTGGTATATCTTTTGTATACCTAAAAATATAGGTAGAACTTTAAGTGGTGGTACATTTTGAAATGTTTAAAAGTAATGTGGGTTATTTTTGGTCAATGAATATTTATTTTATTTTTAGTTGTATACTGTATTAATTTGTGAGGGCTGCCATAACAAAGTACCACAGACTGAGTGACTTTAGCAACAGAAATTTATTTCCTCACAATTCTGGAAGCTGGAAGTCCAAGATCAAGGTGTTGACAGGATTGGTTTCTTATAAAGCCTCTCTTGTTGATTTATAGATGGTTAAATCGTTCCTGGTATCTTCACGAGATCTTTGTCTTTATGTGTGTCCACCTCCAGAACTTTTTTCATCTTTTAATACTGGAATTCTACCCATTAAATAGTAATTCTCCCCTCTCCCCTCATTTGCTCCTGGAAACCACCCTTCTATTTTGTGTCTCTATAAAGCAATATTTAAGACAGTCTTTTTCATCAATAGTGAGAGTCTACAAAGTTCCTCCAATTAATTATTTTTATGCTAATCTGCAAAGTATATATAGACTTTTACCTATCTAAGAGGTCTTTTAAACTCTTATGTACAAAATTTTGTCCTTATTTGTATATTTGCCTTTTTATTGGTAGAGATTCCAGATTTCTCGTCATCAGATTTCTTAACTAGAGATTTATACTAGTCTTGTTTATTTTTCAAGGTAATTCAAGGTTTCAGTTTTTAGATTTAAGTTGATAAGGCGATGTGTACTTTACAGGAATAAAAGGTAATTGAAAGTTTAAATGTATTTCGGTCTTACTGTTTTGAAATCTAATGTTTATTTGCTATTTTGTAAATGTTGATACTTTTTTAAGAACCTTTTTTGTAGTTTTCTTCATTTGGGTAGATTTTTATTCTTACTCTGCACTTTACTCTTTTATACCATCAGGTATGTGTTGTGTCAATTCTGCATCTCATTGAAATATAAGTTAAAATATTTTCCATATTGAATAACCTCTCAGAGGGTTATTGTTGTCTTTATTTTATTCATATATTCATTCAGCAAACATTTGTTGAGTCTTCATTATATGGTAAACAGTAGCTATACAAAGAAGAATAAACATAATTTTTGTCTTCAAGGTGGTTAAAAAAATGCATCTAAGTAGATCTAAATAAATTACTATATTTGAAAGAAGAGTAAACAAAAAGGGAGTTTTGGTTGATCCAAAAAGGAAACAGAATGGAGAAAATTAGAGTCCTGGGAATACAAGGCCCACTGGCAGGGGACCAGTAGATGGGCATGGCTGAAACTATTGATTCGGATGTAGAGGAAGAGTTGCTGAAGATGAGGCTTGAATAGTTGGAGCCAAATTTTGAAGACACTTTAAAAGCATATGCAGTGAACATGGAGTTCTTAAACATTTTTAAGTCTCAGAGTGAAAAACAGGATGAGACTATTATGTGATGTTAACTAGTCTTATTAAATAGTAATTTTATGCAATCTGAATGTATATATAGTTGTATCATTTAAAAATTATCCTTAGATTATTTTTCATAGATTATTGACAAATACTGCTTATTTTACAATCTCAGATATATATTTTTAATATAGTTCATATTTTGTATGTTTAAGTATCTGCCATATTTTAAAAAATAAACTTTAGCTTTGTGTTTTTTAATTTCTTTTTTCCAGCTATAAGAAAGACCAGATGGTTGAGGATCTAATGGAACCTCTGAAATACGCTGAACAACTTCCTGTAGCTCAGATAATACACCAGGTTTGCTTTCCATTTTATTCTTTTGAAAGAAACAAGATTTTTAATCTCTGAAAAGTAATTGCTTTTGTTAGGTTTTTCAGAACCAATGTGCTATAGCTGAAAGGCATTCCAGGCTGTCTAGCCCTATTTAGACTCCACCTCTTACAGTTGGAAATCTCATTCAAAGCACAATATTAAAAGGCTACTTGCTGTTTAACAGTAGAATTCTTATATAAAATACAGGGTAGAATCAGAATTGTCTTTTGTGCATTACTTAACAACAAGACTTAATTTCAGAGAACTTTCATTTGAACTATTGTATATGGTACTTATTAATGACAAAGAAATTACTGAAAAAATAACATTTGGTGTAATTTTTTTGAGTAGCTAAAATGAGAAAGAAATCTCTCCTTACTTCTTCCACCCCACCCCATTATCAACTCTTGTAAAGTGTAATTCTAAATGTCATGTGGGTAATTTTTTCATTTCCAATTATAATGACTCTATCATCCCTTCTCCATTACTGTAATCTTAGAGAAGGCAGTGTGGTAAGTTTTTAAACTTAGATTTTGTACTGTAATTCTGACAGCATACAAAGTTCGCCCTGCTGGGCCAGAATCTAAGAATTTTAAAAGTGGTTTGTTGATAAGAGTTATGGCCGATAGACCTACCAGATTTATCAGAGGCTATAGATTATAGGAAATGTTAAAAGTCCTTAAATGTCAGAATTTGTCAGAATTTTTACGAATGTTAATTACTGTTATGAGTCTTTCCATATGTCTTTGCCAATCAAACGAATTTTTATTTAGCAGATACAGATTGATTATAAGTACCAGGTTGAGCTTATTAAAAGAAAACAGGCTTTTTAAAATGTTGGCTACATGGAGAAGGGAATGGCAACCTACTCCAGTACTCTTGCCTAGAAAATTCCATGGATGGAGGAGCCTGGTGGGCTACAGTCCATGGGTCACAAAGAGTCAGACACGACTGAGCGACTTTTCACTTTGACTCTCACTTCCTGAAGACAATGGTGGTTCTGATTATTGCACTTAAAACTGGGATGTTGGACTGTATTTTCAGTATTCTGTTAAACAGTAAAATACTGTGTGGATAAAATGATATTAAAAAATATTGTTACCAAGTGTCATCATGTAATATGGCTGAAAATCCTAAAAAATAAATAAATAAATAAAATGTTGGCTATATAGATCTTTTCATGGAGGTTAAAATTGCATATTAAAATTCTATGAGAAATTACAAAAAGTGGTCTAAAATTTGCCCATGGTTTATCTGTGGTTGGTAATCAGGTCCAGTTATGTGTCAGGAATTCCCTGGTGTTGTCAGCGCTTAAATGACCTAACAGCCTGCAAATGTCACATTTAAAATTCTGTCTTCATGCCTGACTCTCGGCATAAATGAATTAAACAGCAGAGCAGGCAGCAAGTCAATATGTTCTTAACAGTAAGAGTGAGCAATGAAACAGTTTGTGGTTTGTTCAGAATAGGTAAATAGAATCTGCCCACAACACTTCACCTAGAATAAAATCTAAAACAGGAAACAAGAGTTAACCTTTAAGATGGTTGACCAGATGAAATGTCAGTCATATTTTTATAGTTTGAATGAACCAATAAACTGCTGTTATATACACTGTGTGAATTCAAAGATGAAAAACTTTGACCCTGGTCAAAATTTTTATGATGATATTCTTGGCATTATCAGAAGCTATATTAATTTTAACACTGAATTATAAACATTATAATGAAATTTTTATAGTACCTGAATTTATAAAATTTTTATTTTAAGATTCATGATAGGGATTTCTTCTTCTTTATAATGAATAAAATTAATTTTGTTCTCAAGGGGTAATCAGGAAAGATCATTTTTCCTCTTATTTCCCTTTATTGACAATACTACAAGTTTGAAACTGTTACAGTTGTCTGTCAAGTGATCTTTAAGAAACACGTGAGTTATGTTGCTAGGAGTTCACTTATAAGTGAATTATTTGAAAGCCATTTTTCCCCCTAAGAGAATAGTAATGTATGTAATAATTAGGTGCAGCCAAACCCATAAAATCTCAAAATATGTAATATATCTGTATTATAGTGTTACTGAAGTATATATTTAACCTCCACCTATAATAGTGTGTTTTTGTACTGTAAGAACTGTTTTTCTTCTTATCTTGAGTCATGCTTTACCTATGTCTGTTCTGGAGTATGTGTCATTCTTATTGAAATAATGTTATTTATTCACATATCGTATCCTCTGTGTGCTCAGTCACTTCAGTTGTGTCTGACTCTTTGCAACCCCATGGACTGTAGCCCATAGGCTCGTCTGTCCATGGGATTCTTCAGGCAAGATTACTGGAGTAGGATGCAATTTCCTTCTGCAGGGGATCTTCCTGAGCCAGGGACCAAAATCGTGTCTCTCGAGTCTCTCATGTCTCCTGCCTTGGTAGGTGGGTTTTTTTTTACCACTAGTGCCACCATATCTTCTATTTGATCGTCTTTCTGGATATCCTTGATTTCTTGATATTTTTTTCAGCATCTTGTGCCATTTTTGCATATGTCTGAATGGCTGGAGATATATGCCTGTGAGTGTGTGCAATGGTATAGTGAGAGCCAGAGCATCTCTTTTCCCTACCACCGAGGCATCAGAAGCCAGGGCACAGTTCAGAAAACGAGAGAGGAGGAGCCAGGCACAGCAATTCAAGGAATAGCAGAGAGTGAGAGAGAGGAATCTGTTTCAGTCATTTGAGTAATTAATTTCTTGTTTATATTACTTAAACTGCATGTTACAATGAGGAGATAGACAGGATTTTAGTATGGCCATTTTGTACTGCCAAATTATTTACCTTTCTTTAGGTGTCCTAGCAAACATGATTGCACATCTAGGAAATCCAAGACATTCAAGTTATAAGCAGTAGAAGTAAGAAGAGAATCTGGTGAGATAGTCAGTTATAAGATGAATAAAACTAGTGCTGCTTCATATTTGCAATAACCACACAAAATGGAAATGGGAAAAATGTTCTTTCACAATGAAAGGAACTATAAAATACCTAGGAAGTACACTTGGCAAGTAAATTATAGAACTTACAGTGTAAGAATCATGGAAGCATACCACGTTTCATAAGCAGAAAGTTATACCAAATATTTGATGGGGTAGGGAACTTAATATCATAAAGTATAATTTTCCCAAATTTGGAGTTCTAATTAAAATAGAAGCAAGTTGGTTTTTTTTTTTAATGTTAGAAAAAAAAATGACCACATAGTTCATGTGGAAGAACAAATATCTAATAATAGACAAAGAAAGTAAATAAAAGAAAACACAGCCTCTTGAATCATATAAATATGTGTGGACAAAGGAACAGATAAATGGATTAATGGAATACAGTAAAAAGGTGAATTTCAAACATTATTATAATTCACAATAAGAAATACATTTTACATACATTGATGTATATATGTGTTAAAAATTAGAAGTATAAGTTTTATGAAACATTTACCCTCATTACATGTGATGCACATTATTTTCTATTTCTGTTTCTTTTTCAGTGTCAAATAAAGCATAACTAAATTAATTTCAAAATCAAATAGTCCTGACCTGAGGCTTGAAAAAACATGAATAGAGAATTCAAAGAAAAAAATTTATGAGATTTGATCATTAAATATGTGATTAAGATTATATGTAGTTCAATAGAAAAACAGCTTAATTTGAATTTCATGCTATGTAATATAAAATAAATTTTGTATGAAGACTTAAAGTAAAATAAGCTTTTAGCAGAAAGTTTCAGCAACTGCATTTTTAATCTAAAGTAGGAAAGAACTTCTTAATAAACATACACATGCAGGAGATATGTTTGGCTCCATAAAAATTTAATATTTTACATATCAAAAGATACCACAACATTAAAATACTAATGTTAGAATCAAAATAAGATTTTTGCAAAGAAGACAATAGTGAATTGGTTAATATCAAAAATATATGCAGAATTCTTGAACGTTTATAAAAGACAAAACAACTTAGTAGGAAAAAAAAGACAAAAGAGATGAAAAGCAGGTCAGAGAACAAATGGAAATGGCTAGTGAGTGAAAAGAAAGCCTAAAACTCATTAAGGAAGTACACATTACAAATTAAGTAAAATTATTGTATGCCTATCAAACTGGCAGAAATTAAAATCACATATTGGAAAACAGTCTGGCAGTTTCTCAAAAGGGTAAATGTAGATTTACCATTCAGTTCAATTCAGTCGCTTAGTTGTGTCGGACTCTTTGCAACCCCATGAACTGCAGCATGCCAGGACTCCCTGTCCATCACCAACTGCCAGAGCCTACCCAAACCCATGTCCATCGAGTTGGTGATGCCATCCAATCACCTCATCCTCTGGCGTCCCCTTCTCCTCCTGCCCTCAATCTCTCCCAGCATCAGGGTCTTTTCAAATGAGTCAGCTCTTCACATCAGGTGGCCAAAGTATTGGAGTTTCAGCTTCAACATCAGTCCTTTCAATGAACGCTCAGGACTGATCTCCTTTAGGATGGACTGGTTGGATCTCCTTGCAGTCCAAGAGACTCTTAAGAGTCTTCTGCAACACCCCAGTTCAAAAGGATCAGTTCTTTGGTGCTCATCTTTCTTTATAGTCCAACTCTCACATCCATACATGACTACTGGAAAAACCATAGCCTTGACTAGATGGACCTTTGTTGACAAAGTAATGTCTCTGCTTTTTAATATGCTGTCTAAGTTGGTCATAACTTTCCTTCCAAGGAGCCAGTGTCTTTTAATTTCATGGCTGCAGTCACCATCTGCAGTGATTTTGGAGCTCAAAAAAATAAAGTCTTTCACTGTTTCCGTTGTTTCCCCATCTATTTGCCATGAAGTGATGGGACCGAATGCCACGATCTTAGTTTTCTGAATGTTGAGCTTTAAGCCAACTTTTTCACTCTCCTCTTTCACTTTCATCAAGAGGCTCTTTAGTTCTTCTTCACTTTCTGCCATAAGGGTGGTGTCATCTGCATATCTGAGGT